CCGGCTCTCCTGCAGGGGGGACCCTGCCCCTTGTCCTACCTCCACCATGACGGCGGTGCGGTCGCCCAGCAGCTGCCCGATCAGACCCTGCGAGGTGCGGCGACCCTGTAGCTTGTTGGCCTTGCTCCAGCCCTCCTTCTGTGCCTGTTCATGGAGCCAGCTCTCTGCCTGCACACACAGGGGCGGGTGAGGGAGGTTCACACTCACAGGCAGCAATGCATTTGGCTAAGCACAACTTGTCATTGCGCAGGTTCTACTAGAAAAGTCACTCGGTCAGAATGTCCATGCTTTCGAAATCTTTCTATCTGATGAAGAAATCCTTCAAATCCATTCTTGATAAGCGTAGGTTCCGCCTCTGCTTGAACAAAAATATGATCAGAGATTTGGGGGTGGCTGAGCACACAGCACCCACAGAGCTGGAAACCTAGACTAAGAACAAACCTCATTTTCAGGACCAGAGGTGACTACTTTAGAAACAGTTCAGGTGCGTAGCTGCATCAGCATGCATGGCTGCAAAGCAACAAATAATAGGTTTATTCCATGCTAAAAAGAGAAGAAAGAAAAAGTTGTGTTTTCTTCCTTCTCTTTTCAGCATGGAATAAACCTATTGTTCCTTTAGAAATACATGTGAAGCAGAAATGGTGAATGGTCTGTCTTTATTCTGTCTGCAATTTATTCAAACAAGAACATCAGGAGTGCTTATCTGTGAGGGGGACTGCCTGAGTTACGGTCCACGTCAGGCTCAGTTCAACAGCGAGACCTGCTGTGATCTGGTGCCAGTCAGTGGTTTCCCCTGGACAGGTGGGCTGAGTGTTTTGCCGCGGGAGAGAGACCAGCCTCCACAGTTACCTGCGCAAAGTCGCCATCGAACTTTTCCAGAGCCTTCTTGCAGTTGACGAAGGAGTATCCGGTCACCTTGCGCAGTTTGACCAGCAGAGCCTTTTCCGTGGCCAGCAAGGGACAGCCCGAGTGGACAGACTGGACTGGCTGAGCCAAACAGACCTGGAGAACAGGTGCCCTTTAATTGTGAGGATTCCAAACCCACTCAACCAAGACCATTCAACCTGTATCCCTTCCAATCTACCCTACTGCAGTGCTGATAATACCAGCTCATTAATTGCTATATTAATCCTGCAAATAATAATAATTGCTTACACTTATATAGCGCTTTTCTGGACACTCCACTCAAAGCGCTGTACAGGTAACAGGGATCCCCTCCACCACCACCAGTGTGCTGGATGATGCGACAGCAGCCATAGTGCGCCAGTACGCTCACCACACACCAGCTCTCAGTGGGGGGGGGGAGAACAGAGTGATGAAGCCAGTTCAGAGATGGGGATTATTAGGAGGCCATGATTGGTAAAGGGAAATTAACCCAGGATTCTGGGGTTACACCCCTACTTTTTTCAGGAGACAACCTGGAAGGACAAAGGACAGCGCCTTTTTACAGTGCAGAGATCGCAGGGTGAGCGCCCCCTGCTGGCCCCACTAACACCTATTCCAGCAGCAACCTTAGTTTCTCCCAGAGGTCTCCTATCCAGGTACTGACCAGGCTCACACCTGCTGAGCGTCAGTGCTAATCAATTTCATAAATACAAGTGCATCAATTAGCAGACCAATTAACTTGTTTCTTTGGTCCGTCCTGAGTGTGAACCACACACCTCTTAAAGAGTACAGCTTCCACAGCTTCAGCACACAGATGTTACTCAGCGCTGGCTAGCTGATTAATTGATGATGAACAGACGCAGGTGGGAGAAGAGGGCTTTCCCTCTGCGGGTCCAACTGGTACACTACAAGCAGCACGCCCGAACGAGGGCGGTCCTGAAACGCGGAAACTGGCAGTGTTCATATCGGCTACAAACAGCGTCAGACCCTTTAACAGCTGACGGTACATTTACAAATATTTTCTCAAACAGAAAACTTACATCAGTTCGCCAGTGAGTCAGCTGAAAACAAGCAGACACGGTGTTTTTTTTTATACAAAACTAGACCACGGAACTAATTTTGTATAACCTAGACTACGGAATCACTGTCAAGACACTGCAGTGGCAGCATCTGCTCTAGATAACTAATACTGAAGACTTTTACTCACGGACTATTTTAAATCGTATTCTTTTGAACGTATTTGATAAGATAAACTTGTTTCACTGTAAGCTGCCTTAGAATAATTGCTTCCCTAAGTATACCAATACATTCGTTCATTCACTATCACTACTAGCTTTGAGAATCAGCCTGCTCTGTGATCCAGGAATGCAGTAATCGTAACTACCTTTGCCAAGCTAAAACCGATAGTAATCCTTTTAAAAGTCCGAGCTATCCACACGGACTGGTAGTATACTTTATCAGCATTTTCAGACACGCTTAATATCTCACGAACTCCCAGCAGAACACTGTTGCTTCTGCAGACACATACTGTACAACATTCACGAGCTGTTACCAGAATTCACACAGAACCGTAATGCTGCGTAAGTGCGTGGCTCGGTTTCCATTTCTCACGCAAACAATTTACCTTTCTCAGATCCGATCTGACCGCTTTCAGCACAGAACACACAGACATGACCGGCTCCACGTTTGATAACCCGCACGTCAGGACGAACGGAGTGTCATTGAAGAACAGCACGCTGTCTACGGCGAGCGAGCAGGGTCAAAAAGTCTAACACCGACCACTCCGCGGAAGCCATAGATACTTACAATACTAGCTAAGTCTATGTGGAACGTCTGTGGCGGTACGTACCTGGACAGCCATTTTACCTGGGGGTACCGGTAGTGTTACTTAAAACAATTGATAGAACTCCTCAGTATCCCCCGGACAAAGGAGCTTAACACCTTTACAAGGCAGCGCAGCACGATGACATCGTTTGAGCTGCTGTATTTCTTGCTTCAGTGGTGTCCTGGGTTTGACTGCAGGCTGGGGTGTTTGTCTCTGTGGAGTTTGCATGGTCTCCCCGCGACCGTGTGGGTGCTGCAGTTGTCTGTGAAAGCGGTTAATTCAGCCTGTAACTGGTGCCTCGTTGCCGGTGTCATCATGGTGAAGCAACTTCAAATCCCCCCGCTGTCTGGAGTAACTCTGCCACAGTTGCGACCGGAGAATAGCTTTTTTTTCCCACCGAAGATTCCGATTTTTTTTTTATTCCAGCTTTCATTTTTCAATTATTGGAAAAAAAAACTTGCTTCTATATACTTGTAATAATTGCTCTTTTCTGTATTGTGCACTATTTGACGGGTAACACAGTTGTGAGCAATTGTTTCAATGCCGCCTGTGAAAGCTTTAATCGGAGACTGTGAATTTACATTACATGCAGCGAATACATCAAAAGGACGTTTTTCATGATTACCAACAGATGCACAGAAGCTCTAAACCACACGCTGGTTTTAAAGATCTGGTCTCCTTTCTGACATCACATCATGACAACTTCGTGACATCATGACATCATCATAAGAGTGTTCAATAAGACGTAATAGAACTTTTATCCAAAAGTTAGAAACGATTTAAAAACCTTGATGCACAACGCAGAAGATTGTTTTTGTTTTGTGCACTGGAGTTTGCCTGCAACAAAAACTATTAGACAGATTTATAGAGTTTTCGTCAACAAGCAGACAACTAAATATTGTGTTCCTTATTATTCAACATTTTATTTTTAGAACATACACAGCCAATTTATTTCGCAGTTGGAAATGTACTAGTTCTGTTTAATGGAATATTCTGTGTTCAAATTGGCGAAAACTGCTTGGTAAATCCGAGTTAAGCTCGATAAGTGGTGTTTTGATCCCCCTAGTGGAGGATTGTCATTACTGCAGCCCTGGCTGTAGCGATTCGCAGCCTTGTTGCTGGTAGGGGGAGACGGTGAGGTCCTGGATCCAGTTTATAATTGGTATGAATTAATCCCTGCTAGTTAGTGGGTTTCAGGACTCTCGTTCGGGTGTACCTACTGAAATACAACCAACTACCCTTAAGCAGAAGAAGAAACACTGACATCAGTGTCAAACCCACCTGTTTCTGTTCATTGTCAATTGATCACCTACTTAGAGCTGTTTAGTCAGAAATAAGGGAGCTCAATTCTTAACTGACAAGATGAGGAGAGACTGTGCTGAAAGTGTTGAGAGTTGAGTGTCCTGGAATATTGCCCTGGAACTGGCCCACGAATCCCCTGCTCTCAAGAAAGGGGCTGCAGAGATCGCTTTCTGGAGCCCCTGACACCTCGTGAGTTGGTGAGTGTGGTGAATAGTGAATAGTGCGCTGAATACCGGACCACAACTCGAGCCTGACCCCCCCTGGCCGCACCAGGAAACTCCTAGGCAGCAGATCAGCAGCCCATGAGCGTGCATTTCGGCAGTGTGTCGCTGTTGTTGACTTTCTGTCCCCTCTGAGCTCCCGTGATGTAGAGATGCCCCCTGGCACAGAATCCTGCACAGTTCCTCAGAGTATCCCAGCGCACAGTCACTCCGGTGCCTCTTCCTCTCCTCCTGCCCCAGTATTTAGGAATATCACAGGAGGGATTGCCCTTTAAGGCTCCAAAAGGAACTCTCCATCATGCGAGCAAATGATTCAGTATCCTGTGCTGGAACTGTGCCCTTGTGAGTCAGGCGTCCCTTCCTGTTCCTGGTCTCCTCCGAGACCCTCTGCTGCACATTCCCTGCCTCAGCCTTCTTGCGCCCAGCGTCCAACAGAGCCACACAATCCACTTGCTCGCAGAGACCCAGAAGCTTCCAGGTGGAGGAACCTACTGCTAGCAAATCAGTCATACTTCTCTCACTAATAAAACTAACCCCACAAAAAAAGAAAACTTCTTTCAAGTCGAAAGTCGAGTTGATCGTCACCTGCACAAGTGCAATGAAATGCTTTTTTGCATGTGTGCTCCTATACCAAGACATCAAGGAAACACCAAAAGCCCAGGACAGTGGCAGCAACAACAAGTTAAATAACACACATCTTTGAGAGAAAAAAAACACATCAGTGTGAGCCAGTGGTAGGGGTAGAGCTCAGTAATCTGACATCTTGAGGGAAGAAGCTGTCTCTGAGTCTGGATGTTCGTACCTTTATGCTCCTGTAGTGCTTCCCAGAGGGAAGGAGGGAGAAAAGTGAGGAGCCAGGATGACTGGTGTCTTTAACGATACTTCCAGCCTTCCTGAGGCAGCGAGTTGTAAAAATGTCTGAAACAGAGGGGAGCTGTACTCCAGTGATGGACTGGGCTGACCCGACCACCCCCTGTAACGCCTTCCAGTCAGACAACGAGCTGCTGCCAAACCACACTGCAATGGCACATGTGAGCACACTCTCAGTAGAGCACCTTTAATCTTCTCAGTGCTATAACCATTATAGAGACTGGGACTGCGGGCTGGCTGCTGATGGAACAGCACCGGAGTCCTATAATAACCCCTGCATCATCTAAAGACCACAGGTCTCTCTCTCTCTCTCTCTATTAACAAATACAGCTATTAACAAATTCAAAACACTGCAGACATCCAAGAAACTAATTAGGTTCATTTGCTGCTCAGGTTGGAACGAGGGCCCCTGGACATGAGGGCTCCACTAGAAATAGAGATGGGGTGCCAAGTTTGGGAGAAAAAGCTCCAGTTCAGTTCCAACCTCTGGTATCGAAATCCAGAGATCTCTAGAGGCGCCCCAGAAGAAAAGACCCCGAGTTGTGCCAGACCCCCCCTTTTCCATCTGAACTCTCTTTCCCAGTCAACGCTACACTGCGTCACGGAAAGAATCTTACACCTCGCGCTCCAGGGTCCGGGGTGCAAATTCCTGCATCTTCCTTGTAACTTCCGCTTCGGAGAGGTCTGGGACTAGAGCTTTTTCCCCACACTGCCAGGATTCCAAAACCCTGCCCTTAGCTTCCCGGATAGAATGGGGGATGCCATTGTGGCATTTAACATCACAGTATATCCAGTGGCCTGCAGGGCAGCAGGGCGGCTCAGTGGTTAGTGCTGCGGAGGTCCTGGGTTCAATCCCTGGGGTGCTGTCTGTGTGGAGTTTGCATGTTCTTCCCGTGTTCTTGTGGGTGTCTTCCACAGTCTAAAGACATGCTGGCAGGTTAATTGCCTTCTGGGAAGACTGGCCCTGGTGTGTGTGTGTGTGTGTGTGTGTGTGTGTGTGTGTGTGTGTGTGTGTGTGTGTGTATCTGCCCTGTGATGGACTGGCGTCCTGTCCAGGGTGTACCCTGCCTTGTGCCTGTTGCTTGCTGGGATAAAGTGCAAAGAAAAAGAAGGGATGGACGTGCACTCCAGCCTAATCAGGCCACTGGTGAGGCACTGAAGCCCCAGTGAAACAGGTCCACCCTGACTGGGACAGCAACAAACTATTCCCTCCGTCACTCAAGCTCCGACAGAGCCAGACGTTCACCCTGATCCAACAGCAGGAAAGCAAGCAAAACCCGGACACGTTTACATTTCTAACAAAGCACTGTTTATTGAAGCTCCTGAGAACGCCAGAGTCACAGAGACAGAGAGTAACAGCTCAGCAGTTTGCATTGAAGACCCAACATCAGTAACAGTGGGAGGAAGGAGGAGGCAGCTGGAATGACGTTCCCTGCAACTCCAGTTGGATCATCTTGGCTGCGGTCCCCTCACTGCCCCATTCACAGTTCAAAGCAAAGAAACAGCCACTGTACCCAGGCTGGGTCAAATTCATTTCACAGTTATTTCCCCCTGCGCAGGGTGCAGCACACACCTTCACCATTTGCCTGAGCTCTGCAGTTACACTCTGTCCAGCCTCACAGGGAACTTCACAGGTTCTTGTGAAAAGCAATAATACTGAAATCGAATTTATATAATTCTAAATAATTTCTCATTAGCATTAATAAAAATAATATCTGGTGACATGCATTTATATAAGTAGTGCAAACAAAATGCATCACATGCATTATCAACAGCATCACTGCATTCAGCCCCACTATTGAAACAGAGCTTGGGCAGAACTAAAACCAGGAGACAGTAGTCTCTCCAGGAATCTGACCCTTGTGATGCCAGATAGACAGGGCAGCAATTCCAGCTTCAAGCACGCTTCTGCGAAACTCACCACTCTGCAAACAGCCGTTAAGGTCGAGTTGGAGCTTTAAGGCAGGAAGTTTCCTTTAAGTGGCGATGCTGTCAAGCTCCCTCTACCGTACACGCCTTGTAACTGCAAGTACGGGCCAAATCACTCTGGCAGTCACGTGAGCCAAACGACCTGGTCTGGTTTGGGAGTTTAATTTAAAAAAAAATAGGTTATGTTCCTCATTCTAGTCCAAATGCTTCAGAAATCGTCTAACATAGATTAACATGTTCGCCCCGAGTTAACAAGGGCTGTTCCTTCCGAACGAAGAATTTTAAATTCACTTAAGCAGTAAGTACGTTCCGTAAACAAAAAAATAAAGACTTCATTAATATAATGCACGAGTATGCGTTTGTCAACGGCTCTCTTCGTCACTGCGAAGTTCAGTCTCGTGGCTCTGCAGTAGTGGGAGATTTAGGACAGGTTGGTTAAAGATAACTAACACCTCACGGCGCTAGAAATAATAATAACAATAATAATTGCTTACATTTATATAGCGCTTTTCTGGACACTCCACTCAAAGCGCTTTACAGGTAATGGGGACTCCCCTCCACCACCACCAGTGTGCAGCCCCACCTGGATGA